ACCCCTTATGTTCTTCCTGTTACATCAACAGTAGACCCCTTATGTTCTTCCTGTTACATCAACAGTAGACCCCTCTTATGTTCTTCCTGTTACATCAACAGTAGACCCCTCTTATGTTCTTCCTGTTACATCAAACAGTAGACCCCTCTATGTGTTCCCTAGATTTGTGTTAATGCTACTTTATCTACCTAATTAACCAGACGTCTCTGTGGACAGATAAACTTGACTTTGTACCAAAAATCTGGTTGTCAGGGTTACATGAACTACTCAACATTTATAGATCCACGTGCAATGTAACGCACGTTTAAAAAAAGAATAGTTTATTAATCTAAGCAAATTACTTATAGCTGAGAAGTTAAAGTCTGGTTGATGTATTTAAAGCTAATTACTCAACAACTGATTTCAAACAGCTGCGTATTTTAAAACAAACTTGTCTGACTCATTAACTGTCGCTCGGGGTAGGGGCGGGGGGTGGGCAAATTTCAAGACGCAGAGTACACGTGCAAGGCGAAGATACAGTGGGAGTATCGAGATAGTGACGTTGTGACCCAGCTGATTGATCAACTGACACGCCGTTTAATGTTTTGATTATGTTACAGTTTTGAATACACATGAAAAAAAAAGATGAATTTTCCAGCTGTATCGGAAACTATATTTGAACCTTACATCAAGGACATTCATACAGTTTTTGTGTTATCTCAACAGTAGCTATTGAACCAATGTTTTACATCATGTGTGTTAGAAATTAGCCATTTTCACCTATTCTTTCTAACCTTTATTTGTTCATCTCCTGTTCTTAAGAATTCTATATAAGTATTTAGAAGTTGTTTTCGTTTGAATTACAGATTATATTCTCAAAGTATGTTCTTGTTATTCAGATTCCAAGTTTACTGTAAGTGATACCTTTGTTTTTTGGACCATCCTCGTTTTAATGAAAGTAATCCACAATTTTGTAGATGTAAGTGTTATGGAGGTATTATTTTATTTTAATGACTACACATGTATATATGATACAGATTTTTTTTTTCCAATTTCACCAAAGGTAAAATTGACAGGAGAGCCTGTGACGTAGAAACCTAACGTTTTCTCTGATTGGCTGTACCCTCTGTGACGTAGAAACCTAATGTTTTCTCTGATTGGCTGTACCCTCTGTGACGTATAAACCTAATGTTTTCTATGATTGGCCGTACCTTCTGTGACGTAGAACCTAATGTTTTCTGTGATTGGCCGTACCCTCTGCTGTGGACTGCAGTTTCGCCCACTGGAGGTTCATCAGCACAGCTTGGGTTTTGGCAGATCAAAGAAATACAGTTAGGCCTCTTATAACGGTGATTAGTTTACAATATTAATTGGGTTTTTAAGTCATTTTCAATCACCAATAAAGTAACCTAAAATAATGTAGATATTTGAATAATGTTAGAGCTCGTGCCTAAATCATTATTTCACATTATATATCGGACCAAGTATTTAATGATTACATATAAATGTTACAGATTTCTTTACAATTTCACCAAAGGTCTCTACATCACAGATTCTCCTTTCAATTTTAGCCGTCTCTGCTATACATTTTTTATACTTCAAGTGGGTTTCTCGTCACCATGAAGGTCCTTGTTTGTGTTTCCTAGGTTACAGTGTACGTTGCCATGACTAGTGTCCTATACGACTACCTAAGTCCAGTTATTAATTTATTGTTATTGTTTTTAGAACTTCTTGGACAGAAGTTATGTTAGTTCATGATTAATGAAGGGTTATCTTAGGACATGAAAAGTTGCTTGTCTTATATGTAATTGTAAAAAACGCCCGTAAAAACTGTAAAACTCAACATGTGAGATCGCAAGTTTGCATATATCTCCGCATGGGTCCAACAAACCTTCATGGCAAATTTGGTGAAGATTCATCAACAGGGGGCAGAATAGTGGTAAAAAACTCCCATAAAAACCCCAAAATGCAAAATTGAAAATTTGTTTGTATCTCTTCATGGACTTAATGAACCTCCATACCAGTTTTGGTGAAGATCCATCCACACCCTCCGAAGTAGTAATACGGAGTACAACAGACAGTACTATTATATTTATATAGATACAGGCAGTACTGTTATATTTATATAGATACAGACAGTACTGTATCTATATAAATATAACAGTACTGTCTGTATCTATATAAATATAACAGTACTGTCTGTATCTATATAAATATAACAGTACTGTCTGTATCTATATAAATATAACAGGCAGTACTGTTATATTTATATAGATACAGGCAGTACTGTTTTATATATATAGATACAGTACTGTTATATAGATACAGACAGTACTGTTATATTTATATAGATACAGACAGTACTGTTATATTTATATAGATACAGGCAGTACTGTTTTATATATATAGATACAGGCAGTAATGTTATATTTATATAGATACAGGCAGTACTGTTATATTTATATAGATACAGACAGTACTGTTATATTTATATAGATTAGTGACAGATCTTTAGGATGGTAGGTTTTATAGATTAAAATAATATTCAAATTACGTCATAACCCAGTTTTAATCACACTTTTGCAAGTAACCAGAGCTTGAATGAAGGCCTCGACAGAAGCGCCACCTCGTACTTAATAACATTTGTTCTCTGTTTCGGGGATTTCTTCATGGAAGTTCAAAATATTCAACGCATGAAATTTCAGCGCAAATCACGATGACAAACGGAATTTTTATAGAGTGACCCTTAACATTAGTTCCCGGTGCTGTAGGTTTGTGCCATGTCATGTTGAGTACAGCATGCACGTGACTTCTATAAAAGAGGAGTCCTACCATTATATGTTTTGTTCACATATTACATACACCATATCAGTTTTGTTTTGCATGTTACAAAGACGTAGACGAACACTAACGTTATGATAATTAAAACAAAAATACGTTTTCCAATAATTATTGGTAAGCAAAGTTAACTGGATATTTTAAAACTCACTTGG